TTTAGAATAGTGGACTTCGCTATGGAAAGGAACATGTCAGCCAGCAGTACTTACTTCCCTCATAAGAACATACACAAGGAGACTTGGGTATCTCCAGATGGGCAAACACGCAACCAGATTGATCATGTGCTGATCCAGGCAAGACACGCAACGGACATAACGGATGTGAGAAGTTTTCGTGGGGCTGTCTGTGGTTCAGACCATCATTTGGTGAGGGTGAAATACCGACAAAAGATCGCGTTAAGAACCATAGGAAGAGCTGAGAAACCTGCGCCATGATTTGCCGTTGAGCACCTTAAAGAAGAAAACGTGAGGCAGAGGTTTGTAACCAATGTTTCTGAGAAGCTCACCAATCACCAGGAAGTACTTAATATCAACTCAAGGTGGACAAATATGAAAGAAGCCCTTGCAATCGCAGCGGCAGAAGAGCTTGGTGAAGTTCGAAAACCAGCAAGAAATGACTGGTATGATGAAGACATTACCCAGGTAGATGCAAGGAATGAAGCAAGGAGGAGAATGCTTCAACGACTTACCAGATCTGCTACCCAAGAATTCAAAGAAAAGAGAAAAGAAGCCAAAAAGACATGCCGTCAGAAGAAAAGGTTGTCTGACTAGAGAAAATTAGAGGCAATACAAGAGAACTTCAATGCACAGGACTCCAGGAGTTTCTTCAGAGGTGCAAGAGAAGTTAAGGATGGATATAAACCTCGTCTTAATTTTGCTAAAGACAAGGAGGGAAACCTTGTGGTTGGCAAGGAAGCAGTTATTGGCAGATGGGCAGAGCATTTCCAGGAGCTGCTTAACCGGGGCAGAACAGAAAATGCTGAAAGACCTCATGAAATAGAAGTAGAACTTGACTCCGAGGAACTGGCTGATGACGGCGTCCCCCCCAACAAAGAGGAAATAATGGAAATTGTGCAGAATCTGAAGAATTATAAGGTGCCAAGCATAGACGGAATCCAGGCTGAACTTTTTAAATATGGTGGAGATGAAGTTTGGAATGAGCTCCATAAACTTATTTATGATATATGGATGGAAGAAGAGGTCCCAGATGAATGGAAAGTGTCGGTCTTATGCCCAATCTATAAGAAGGGAGACAAGCTAGAGTGCAGGAACTATCGAGGCATGGCACTGCTTGGCATAGCTTATAAAATACTATCCTCTGCCATTGGTAGGAGACTGATATCACACATGGAGAGGGAAGTAGGCGAATATCAGTGTGGCTTCAGGAAAGGTAGATCGACTATTGACCAGATCTTTACGCCAGACAGGTGCTAGAGAAGTCACTGAAATACAACGTCGACCTGCACACCTCTACATTGATTTTCAGCAGGCATACGACTCAGTGGATAGCTAGGTTTTGATAAGGGATCTTCTCTCTCTGAGTGTATCTAAGAAGCTCACTCGTTTAGTAAAAATGACTATGGCAGAGTGAAGCTACAAGGATTGCTGTCTAAGGGGTTCTCTTTGGTTTTGGAAGTAATGAAAGAGACACCAAGACTACTCCCCTTTTTAACATGACCTTGCAGAAGGCGGCAAGGGCCATAGAACCAACCCTGGAGGTACCATCTTTGACCGCTTCACACAGCACATGGCGTACGCAGATGACTGTAGAGATTGTGGCAAGGACGCTCCCAGCGCTGGCAGGTGCATTGAAGGAATTTGAGACGCTGCAGCAGCTCGAGGTCTGTAAATAAATGAGCAAAAGACGATGTACATGAAGTGCTCGAGACATTGCCCTCATCAAGATCGGACTCTAAACATAGGCCAACACGAGTTTCCAGTATGCAGAGAGTTCAAGTACCTGGATCCTTATGACGGCAGACAATGATGTAGGAGCTTAGATAGGAGCCAGGATCGCTGCAGGAAGCCGATGTTTTTATGCCATACAGCGACTACTTAGGTTTCGAAGACTATCAAGGAATGCCAGATTGACAATCTATAAAACATTGATTCGTCCGGTAGTCACATACGGAAGTGAGACGTGGATTATCTCAGAAAAAAATGAGAGGGCTCTTGGAGTGTGGGAGCGTAAGATTCTTAGGAAGATTTACGGGCCCGTATGCAAAGAAGGTGTTTGGAGGTCACGATACAATCGGGAGTTGCGACAACTCTACGGGGATGCAGATCTCATAAGTGTCATTAAGGCAGGACGAATAAGATGGTTAGGGCATGTGGAAAGGATGGCAGCGCACCGAGTACCGAGGAAAATATTTTATGGACGACCTGGAGGAGCAAGAAGGAGAGGAAGGCCACCACTTCGTTGGCTAGAGGATGTTGAGGCAGATTTGAGACAGCTTGGTGTCAGGCGGTGGAGGGCTGTCGCATTGGACCGAGACGAGTGGCGACGTATTGTTGAGAAGGCCAAGGTCCCCCGCGGACTATAGCGTCGAGGAGTAAGTAAGTAAGTAAGGGTGGAGATAGTGCGACGGGAAATTTGGGAGATGTTTGGTTTCTAGGATAGAGTTTGATCAAAAGTAACACCTAGGTTTTTAACGGTGGTGTGGAATAAGATAGGTGAGTTGTTCAGGAGAAGATTGGGAGATAACGGGTAAGATTTGAGGAGTGAGGGGGATCCGATCAAGATGGCTTTTGTCTTCTCGACGTTCAGAGTGAGCCTATTGTGGTTTGCCCAAGCACTTATTCTGTCAATGTCTTCCTGAAGTTTTAGAGTGGCATCTGAGAAATCTGTCGGATTAAAGGAGAGGTAAATTTGAATGTCGTCGGCATACAGGTGGTATTGACAGTGCAGGATAGAGGATGGGAGCTCATTTATATAGATGGAGAAAAGGGTGGGGGATAAGGAAGAGCCTTGTGGGACGCATCTGGTCAGAGGTAGAGATTCTGATGGGGAGTAATTAGGAATTACAACATACTGGGTGTGACCGGTAAGGAAGGATTGGAACCAATTAAGGGAACTAGAAGAAAAAGAGATATTTTTAAGTTTGGTTAAGAGGATGTTGTGGTCTACTGAATCAAAAGCTTTGGAGAAGTCTAGGAGAATAAGGATGGTTAGTTTCTGCTGATCTATGGCTTTGTGAAGGTCTTGGGAAATTTTAATTAGGGCAGACTGAGTCGAATAACCAGGCCTGAAACTGGACTGGTAGAGATTTAGGAGATTATTGTCCTCTAGAAAATGGGAAAGCTGGGATTGGATTAATCGCTCTAAAGGTTTTGAGAGGTTTGAAAGAAGGGAAATCGGTCGGAAATCATTAGGAGCTGATGGGTTTGAGGTCTTCTTCAAGGGGCGTACTAGGGCGGTTTTCCAGGCTGTAGGGAAGGTAGCATTTTGAAGAGAATAATTATATATATGATAAAGGATCGGAAGAATGGATGGCAATGCGGCTTTAATCAGTCTGACTGGGATGTTATCGGGATCGTAATCATTGGTATGGGACTTCTGAATGGATTTAAGGAGATCATCTGGAGTAATATGGGAAAAAAGAAGTAATCAGGATTAAAGGAAGAAAACATAGGAGCCGGACAGGACGTAGGAGCTGTGGTTGCAACAGGGCAGGGGAGACAAAGCGAGCGTTGAGGTTATCAGCAGAAACGGAATTGGACTGGGACTGAGGTGCCTTACCAATGGTCAGTTTTCTAAGAATAGTCCACGTGGCATTGGTATTAGGAGAGTTGGATATGGAATAATGGTAGTAATGGGATTTAGCACGGTGTACTGCTGATTGAGTGCTGTTTCGAAGCTGTTTGAAGGAGAGAAAATCAACAGGAAGTTGAGTTCGTTTAAACCGTCGCCTTGCAGCATCTCTTTCTCTCATACACTCTCTCAAAGCAGGGTTTAAGTTAATGGTATTCCTATGAGATCATCCATGAGCACAAACCTGGCAGGCTTGATGAAGAATCAGGTTTTGGATAGAGCAATGGATAAATACAAAAAGGAAGTGCCAATGATCACTAAATACATTGATGATAATAGAAAAATATGATATTGAAGAGTTTCTAAATATCTTAAATGTTTCAAATTTAAAATTTACAAAAGAAATAGAAAAAACAATGTCATTAGATTTTTAGATATCAACATACATAAAGATGAAACTGGGATGTTGACAACAGAATGGACAAAGAGAGAGGATACCAGTAATAGATCATTAAATAATTACAGCAACCACCCCTTTCATCAAATTAGAAATGTAGCCATGAATTTAATAGACAGGGCCATAAAGTTAACCAGTAAAAAACACATAAAAAAAGGAAAAAGGATTGTTTATAGAGTATTAAATGAAAATTAGTATCTAGAAAAAATGATAAATGATTTATGGAGAAAAGGATGATATGAAATTTCTTCTGAAAACACATCTTTCATCGGGTTATTCCTGTGTTATCATTAACATTTGGAGTGTTGAAATGGACAGGTGCTAGCTTGCAAGTGTTGGACCGTAGGCTCAGAGTGAAAATGACTGTGGCAAGAAGAAAGCATCCAAAATCTTCAGTTTCTATGCAATATCTCCCAAGGAAACAAGGTAGAGGAGGACTCATTAGCCTTTTCAAAAGATGTCGAAAATGAATGAAAAATACTGTTAAGAAATAGTGAAATATATTTTCAATAGTGAATCACAATTAGTGACTACTATTGAGGCAATGGACAGAAACCTAACTGCATTAAGTCTTGCAGCTGAGCCTAAAAAGGCAATAACCAGTGAGGAACTGATGAGAGATTGGAACAGTAAGCAGCTTCATGTGAGGTTTTGCAAGGCCCTCACTTAAAAAAAAAAAAAGCTGTTTCTGTAAACAGAGAGTTTTCTTCTTGCTTTTCAGAACCAATTCGTGGCAACTTGTTACATTTAAAAAAAATAATGATTTTTTTCTGAATTCAATATTTAAATTCTAGATTAGGAAAAGATAAGGTAAATAGAAAAATAAATTCAGAGAGGGAGAGTAGGGGAAAAAATTATTTTTTTTTTATGTTCAAGGAGAAGTTTATTATTTGTTTTTCTTTTACTTTAACTGCTTGCGTGATTTGCAAAAGTTTAAGAATAAATTTATTAATAATCGCCAATACTCTCGTCTCTCTGATATCCATAAGATAGAAGGTAAGTAATTTTAGGAACAACAGATGGTATGGCTGAAGGGTAAGATGTTCGACTCTCATGCCGGAGACCTGAGTTCAAATCCTTATTCATAGAATAATCTTTTATTTATTTTAGGACTACTTTTATTGTCAGTTTTATTACTTTCCCTTCCGTAATATTCATTTAGATTTTTATAGATCCCATTAGAAAATAATGATTAAATTTTTGGAATGATATATGTTTTTTTAATTGAAGGTTTCACTATTATCCAAGTGTAACAAAAAAATAGTGTGTCGTCCGATAAAAACTTAAGAAGTAGAAACAATTAAAATTATCTACCCTAAAACTTTTTACTTTCACTTACGTATATATGTAATATGTAGTAAGGGTAAGTATTGCGATCGTGAAAATTTTCGAATCTCAGTTTTCAACGGAAATACATGTTTTGAGGTCCCCTGAGTCCAAATAACCAAGTGTCGAAAAATGGTCTGTGTGTGTGTCTGTGAGTGTGTTAACAGTCTAGCCCATAAACGAAAAGTAGTACGAAACTGATATTAAGTATTTAAGGTTTGCAAATGGGCCGGATGTGACAGCAACTTTTTCGTTGAAATCGGCTAACCGGAAGTGCCACTTTATATGAATGCTGAAACACATTTTTACAATTTTCTCAAAAATGACTAACAATTTTGATCAAACTCAGTGTATCATTGTATAATTAAGTGGTCTTTAATATCATTTAGGTCTTATCCCCGTTGATGTCACTTTACAGAGCTTAAATGCCTAATGTTCATATATGTCTTCCTCTAAAGTACCTTTAATATGGTTTATTTTAAAAAGTTAACCATTTCGCATTATTCAGAGTTACGAAAAAATGCTACATATAACTTTTGAAAGAATTTGATAAATTAATAAAGGAGAAAAAAAAATAAAAATGGAGAAAAACCTGCGTTCCTACAGACTGTAGCGCCTAAACGAATGTACCGATTTCAATGAAACTTCGCTACATTTTCTCGATACCCTTTAAATTTATCTGTATAACATACTTCAAGGAAAAGAAGCTGGAAAAAAAGTTACGAGGGATGTTAAAATTAAATTCCGAATAACTCAAAAAGTATACGCTTTTTTGTCGATATTGTATACAGTTTTTTAAAAGTTTATGGAATTTCTTAAAAAAAAAAAAAAAAAAATCGTTAAAATCGGACAATTAGGAGGAAAGATATAGTCTCTAGTTTTTTTTCCTGAAGAGGTCTTTCATAAGAACATCTTTCATAAGAAAGTAGTACCTAAATTTATACTTTTATTCTCAGTTCTATATTTCAACACTGCAATCACCACCTCTGGAATCAAGTTACTCATTGTCTGCATAGATAACTTTTTCAACTAAAAATATCACTAAAATGACATCACGCAAAAATGTTGAAATTGGAGTTAGTCATTCTGTGGTTTATAAAAGCAGAGAAAGTTGTGTGGTTTATAAAAGCAGATAGAGTGAATAGATTTTTATTACCTGTCGTCGATATATTAAATAGATATTTTGTAATTATAATGGTCTTAATGACTTGTTATCTGTAAGTTTTAAGCTTTAGCTCCGTTTAAAATGCACTTTAAAAAATTTTATAATAGCCCAGCATTGCCAGAAAATAATTTCTATTCAAAGTAGATCGGTAAGTGAAAGTTGTGTGTTGCGCGCACCAGATTTTTTTCAAGTAATCATACATTACTTTTTTTAATTTTTTTATTCAACCCTGGCCGTCTCCTCTGAGCTGAGGTAATTTTGTCACCAATAATTTTGCTAACAAACTAATTCGTACCACAAATACATATTTAACCAAAATGTTAATGAAAATGCCTATTTTGTAAAGGAGCAATAGAGTCCATTCAGCATATAACATTGGGCTACACGATATCAGTAGAAAGAGAATACCTTGAAAGACATAACTTTACAAAAGCAATCCATCAAAGTATTACCAAATACTATAAATTTACCGATGGATCAAAGCCTTATTACCGTTATGTTCCACAGTCTATCCTCTCTGATAAAGAAACTACAATTTATTGAGATTAGCCTATAATCACAGGTCACACAGAACCAAACAATAAACTGGATATATTGGTACTACGAAAAATGGAAACTAATAAGAAGTACTTGTTACTTAGGTAATAAGAAGGCTACAATAATTTAAATAGAAGTTTCCAATGATGAATGTACATAAAGTGTTCGAAGAGAAGGTAAGGAAATATCAACAACTCTGTGAGGAACTGAAACTACTCTATAGCCTGAAAAAAAAGTGTTCATCATTTTGAGTAACAGATTGGTACCAGAGGAAACTATAAAAACTTGCAAAGAATTGGAACTTCCTGATTATATCCTAGAAGAAGGTCAGAAAGCTGTGCCACTTGGGACAGCCAGCATAGTTAGACAATTTTTAAATATTTCATTAACAGTGCCTAACCCTTGACTCATTGAGTCCGGTAGATAAATATTGCCAGCAAAGACTGAGTAAGTAAGAAATTCTGAAAATACTAATAACTAATTAGAATTTGTTCAATAAAATTAGTAATATGTTTTTTTATTTTACACAGAGAAACAAATTGAATGAAATATAATAACTTATAAATCCATGCATAAAAGTCATAAAACAGTAATATAAAAACATTTGGTGCACGCAAAACACAACTTTCACTTACCCCTCTACTTTGAATAGAAATTATTTTCTGGCAATGTTGGGCTATTATAAAATTTTTGAAGTGCATTTTAAGCGAAGGTAAAGCTTAAATCTTACAGATAACAAATCATTAAGTTACAAATTACAAAAAGACTATTTATTATATCTAAAGTAGCAATAAAAATCTAGTTTTATAAACCACATAACTTCAGTCTCTGATCCTTTCAGCGGACAGAATGACTAACTCCAATTTTAACATTTTTGAGTAATGTCATTTTAGTGATATTTTTAGTTGGAAAAGTTATATCTAAACAGATAGTGAGTAAGTGGATTCCAGAGTAGGTGATAGCACTGTTGAAATATAAAACTGTGAATAAAGGTATAAGTTTTGCCACTAGAAACATCACTAAAATTAATAATAAAGAATGTTGAAATTTGAAATGGAGTAAATCATTCTGTCATTCGAAACGCTCATATATGCCTAGAGAGATTTGAAAGTACATCTGCAGATTTAACCTATAAATGATTATGGATTGTAGAACTATTAGTTATTAAACTCTTATTTTCCATTTTAAAGTTTACTAAATTGCAATAACGAGATTTTCATTGCCTGCCATGGATAGGTCAAAAGTTGTCACACTAATTTAAGTGGATAATCTTGGGATTTTACAAAGGGAAATTCATCAAATGATTCACTAATTTAATTTTCTAAAAGGTTACATGATGATTTTTTTTAATAAACGGCCAATGGATACCTAATTATTTAAATATAATATCATATCTAGAGTTATTAAACTACAGCAAATATATTTAAGATTATAAACATATTCATGAAATATTTTTATATTTCACTTCTTCTTTCGCATAAGTACAATTAAATAGTATTTTAAACAATGGCATTGGCTTGATTTGGTAGATTTTAAATAATTTTTTTTTTAGCTTAAAAAAAATTTAAAAGTTTACATTCAATAAGAAAATTTCATTCAATTTCCTTGGAAACATGTGATTCACGTTAAATAATGTTAGTTTTAAGAAATGATTATTTATATTTTTTCGTCACTCTCCGTTACCTTCTACAACTTTATTTATTTGATATTATTTTTCCTAAAATTCTCGACTTTCACACGATATATTATACGCATCCTTCTGACTGTTATTTTCAGAGATTTATTTTCAAACTGGATAAGCATTTTTCTTTTTTTCTCCAGTTTCCAATTATCATATTCTTTCAAACTTAAAGGTACTTTAGAGGAAGGCATATATGAACATTGGACATTTAAACTCTGTAAAGTGATCAATGGGGATAAAACCTAAATGATATTAAAGATCACTTGATTATACAAATATACCCTGAGTTTAATAAAATTCGTTAAGAGCCATTTTTGAGAAAATTATAAAAATGTGTTTCAATGTTGATGTTGATGATATGAAGTGGCACTTCCCCTTAGCCAATTTTAAGGAAAAAGTTGCTGTAACATCTGAGGTATATAAAAATCTTAAATATGCAATTTCACTTACTTACGACTTTTCGTTTTTGAGCTAGACTGTTAACACACACACAAACACACACCACACACAGACCATTTTGGGAGACTTGGTTATTTGGACTCAGGAGACCTCAAAATATGTTTTTCCATTGAAAAATCAGATTCGAAAAATGTCCGTGATTGCAATATTTACTTACCTTTACTATATATTTATTTATTTTGTAAGTGAAAGTAAAAATCATAAAATTTTGTAATTTTTTTTTCCAGCTACCAGGCATTGGCCAGAACCCTCAGACAAGGGTCTAATATTTTCTGATCTAGTATCACCAAAAAAAGTTTCATTAAATGAAATAATGAAACTGACCATCCCTTGTTAGAAATATTTAGTTAATTTACAAAATAAATCTGCACCTCAGAGGTAAAAGGTGGGGTGTCCATCTTTTCTTGAAAATGAGAATAGTATTATCCTCATATCAGTTTACATGCTTTTTTCTGTGATATAAAACTTGAAGACTGATATTGCATAGTTCTCAAGATAACAAAATTATGAAAAATTATAACTAGAGATTATAACAAGATTTCCATGTTATTGCACATTTTATTTGCTTGCATGTAAAAACCCCGGACCCGAATATTTATGTGTTTCAGGATTTGTATAACATATTTAAATTTTATATTGCAGGAAATTGCACGTTTTGCCGTTTTTGGCTTAAGTTGCACGATTTTGATTCTTGTTGCATTAAATTTCACATTTTAGTACATTTTGTGCTAGATTAAATGATTTATAAGTATGAAAATATATGTGTGTAAATATTTACTTTTTTATTTTACTATCTTGGCCACAATAAATTTATAATTTAAGAAAGAAAAATAAGAAGGTAAATGATTCTGTGACTATTAAAGATTCAAATTTAACGTTACAAAAGGACGAAGTAAACACAAGTGCAGACTGACTATTCATGGAATAGAACTTGCCTGAAGTAATTCAATAAAATAACTGCCTTCCTTGTTTTGACTTACAATGCTCACTCTTTCAGTATCCCTTCCAGCATTGAAGTGAATCGTAGACTATCATGCATACATCAATAATATCCGATTTGACATTCATAAAATTTGTCAAAATTTGTCATACAATAACTATTGAAATTATAGAAACTGTAGGAGAAAATCTTTAAATAATCAATAGTTGAAATAAGAAAAAGTATCTCAAAAATTTTACTCCTTAATAGGAAAAAAAAATCAGGTTATGCTATAATAAAAAAATATAACGACTGCATTAACGGTGTAAATGTTAATGTTGACAAAGAACCAGCAGTTGCTTGTTACTAAATTAGTCCCCTTACATCAGTTCATGTTGAACACTCTTTTTCTCAATTAAAAGGCGTATTAAGTGATAGGAGAAACAATTTTTGACAAACAAATTTCAAAATGTAAAACATTGTAATTATTTTTATTTTAAAAAATAAAGTTTTCATTATAATGTGGAAAATTTGTAATTATGTAAGTACATATATTATTTTAATTAAACTTAAATATCTGAAGTCAATTGGCCTTCACAACTCTAACTCTAACTAAGTTCCTCTACATTACTTCATCCTTGTGTGTGCCAGTCAATTAACCAATATAAGGGAAATTAAAAAAAAATATATTTAATTATTTGTTGGTTAATTATTGAGACCTTTCTGTATTTGTTTTGTGAATTATCTTTAAATTTTCTGCTATTTATGTTAGTCCTTTTTTTTTTTTTCTTTCTTCAAGATTTAGGTTAATCGTAATTTATTGTTGTCGTTAGTTGATTGTAATATGGATTTTAATTTATTTTTGAGACACAATATTTTAATTCAGAAGCTTAACATAAGGTTTGATAAGATTACATATATTAAATTACAATGTATTAATATTGTAAATTAAACAAAATATATTATTTTTCACATTTTTAGGTGTAAATTATACAATTTTACGTATTTTGAGTTTTTACTGCACGATTTTGCACATTTTGAGTTTTTTGCTGCACGTTTTTCAGATTTTTAATGCATGGAGATCCGGTCTCTAATTATAACCAATTTTATAAATGTGATAACCAACCTTTTACCTCTGAGCTACTGAAATGTAACAAAAATTTCTATACCCTGTTTTTCGCATAGCTCTAGAGTTCCATGCAAAACCGATGCATCCCATGATGCTTTACCTCCCAAGTCTCTAATTATTACTCGGACTTGTGAAGGTGCAGAAATTAGACCATCAGCAGCTCCACTTCCAGGAACATCTAATGCTGGTACTTCCACCAATGAAACAACTTGTTGTAAGCTTGTAACAAATACCTGAAAAATTAAAATTATAAAAATAAAAGACAAAATATGAAAAATTTTCATTTCAACTACCAGAAATTAAACTTCAAACTTCTACAAGTTTAATTAAAATTAAAATGTTGCTATTGGACTAATATTTTTCAGGAGTAAATATAAAAATAGATATCAACTAATAACTTACTGAATAACCTCACTAATATGTGTATAATAAAAAATAATTTTTAACAAAACAGAAATAAAACTGAGAAATAAATAGTGTCACAAAACTGATCAAATAATGACACATTTCATTATTAAATGATTATATAAGTTATGATAGTTAGGTGAAAATCAGAATTAATCGCAATCCTTCTTCTCTATTATAATATCTCAGTTTAATGTTATAACCAAAACATATTTTATATATATATATATATATATATATATATTCAAGGGTCAAATAAATTATATATAATTTGATAAGTTGTGGATTTATTATTACATAATTTTAAAAAAATCAAAAAATATTTCAATATTAACAAAAAAAAGCAATAATTTTCTCCTTGTTACAAAAAAAAAAAAAAAAATCAATTAAATATAAAAAAAAGGTTAACCATTAAATTATATTAAATAAATATCGTTAAAAAATAAAACAAAACAAAACTAAATGAGAGAAAATGAATATCTTTACAAAAAAATGACAAATTAAAATATATAAATCATAGGTACATTAACATTTAAATTTATATGTGAAAAAAAAGAAATATTAATATAAAATATTGATTAATATGGTTGATTTTTAAATGTTAAATACGGTAGGTCTTCAATTAGAAGAAATCACAATAAAATGTCTGTGGAGGCAGCTTGACTCTCAAACTCTTGGAGCTCGGATGGAGTTGTGATAGGTCCTGTGTGGTAACCTTGTCCAATGAAATGTCATTGGGTTTATGCAATGCAAATGAGCAATTGGATCCTAAATTATGGGTATCAGGAATGCTGGTGAGAATTGGGTGACTAACTGATGACCTCGTGGAAGTGCAATGCAGTTGAGTATCAATTTTTGATTGATGTTTTTCCAACAAGATGTCGCTGGGTTTAATTATTTCTGGTACAGCTGGGGGCGCAGAAACAAAATGGCATCCTGAATGTTCTGCCTCTGAGGCAATTGTAATCGCACTCTATTGGCATTGTGAGTTGACTGCCTTAAGGTACTATTTCGCTGGTGCGGTCCACGACCGCGACTGCTCGCGGTTGACCACTGCTTTAGTGGAGTAGAAAGGAACTTATTTCACTGGCGCTGCTTGGCAGTCTAGGTATGACGTCATATCAAAGCTGCTCCTATCTGACCGCTCCTGAAGCAGTGGAGCTGTTGGCGGTTCGGCGGTTGTAGGTTATGTTATCATATCAGAACATTGTTTTGATGATAACAGACACGTCGATACGTTTTATTTCCTATGTTTCTTTCAAGTCTGGCAATATTATAACTAATATTGTTTAAAACTGAAACAATGCAATAGTAAATTATTTGTTTAAGGTAGAAGTAACAAGATTATTTATTTATTTATTCCTCTAGCAATATTTTACAACGAAATACAAATATACCTGCTTCGGGTTATTTATTGTTGAGACGGGAAACCCGCACGACACAGAGAGTACCTCGGTCGCAAACGATATTAAATAAATTAAAGAATCCAACAAATTTTATCATCAGGTAAATACTAAAATCCACCCATTGAAAAATCAATTTGTATTTTTTAATTAAAGTGGTGATTTACTGATTACTATTGATAAAACTATAAAACATCGCCTGCTGGGATTTAATTACAAATATATGATATTTATTACTAATCAATTAAGTATTAATTTTCAAACTAATAATATCTATTGTTGTTAGTACAGCGTTTCCCGCCTTTTTGTTCTTTTTCGGTTGTTCATCTAGACAATAGCAAACAATGTCCAAGAAGGGATTTGATGATGAGCATCTCATTAAAATACTGATATTCCTTCTCTTTATGAACAACATTTTCTCTTCTTTTTCCTCCTCAAATAAAAAAGCGGTAGTCAGAGATGTTTATTATTATAGGATTATAGGATATTCATTTTTATTATTATAGGATGTCCATCTTTTTATCTTCGAAGATACAGCGAAATGTTCGAAGGTTATAGGCAGGTTATAACAACACCAGTGAGCAGTTTCAGCGAAATAGCTACGCCAACAGCAGTTGGCAGCGTGAAATAGCAGTTGCTGTCGTGGACTGCACCAGCGAAATAGTACCTTTGATGTAGGGCAGGTAAAAGATGATGTGCTAATGGAATGATCATTTATTGATTTATTGACAATGTTATCCTTTAGAATAGTTTTACTCTTAACAGAATGAGAACTATGAGCCCTAGTTATGGTTGGAGGAGAAGAAATGCCTTGTGAAAAGGACTGAAGCCGATCATTAGCTCTTGATGCTATAGAGGAGAGAGGACCCAGAGGAGTGGGGTTCATGAATAGCTAATCCCACATAATAAGTGTGGGTAGCTAAATTCCTCATCGACTTCAGTGGGAAATAAATAAGAACAATTATTCATAATAACCAAGTGCACTATTTCATCCCATGTTGTTGAAAAGGAGTCGAAATGTTCATTAAGACTATTGAATGAAGCCTTGAATAACTGAAACTAGCTTGGGTTAGACATTACAAAATGACCTAAGTCAACAATCCTATTAATTTCAATAAATGACTCCTGTAATTTAATCTTAAGAAGATTTACCTGTTTTGTTAAATTAAATTCTGTGATGATGGAGGTTAATAAACAAAGGCAGCAAAATAAGAAAAATAAATAATGCTGGCTAAGCTAAAGGAATTAGAGAAAAATGTAAATAAGTAAAGCTACACCGTGGGCGGAAAGCTGGTTACAAAAAAACATGTAAATGTGATGTAATAATATACTGTATATTATTAAAATAATTTACTGCTATTCCTAAATAATATTACAGAGGACCAAAATATTAATTAATACGGGATTGCACAAAATTTTATTAATAACTCAAAATTCAGCCCGGACGGAACCAAAAAGGAACCTCAACTAAAATTAACACCCCATATATTGATGAAATGAAAATAGATTTTTATTATCCTGGGACTGTTATCCCTTTAGGACAAATTATAGATACAGAGGAAATGCCTGTGTGGCCATAAAATTAAATTAAATATTTACAGTTCTCATTAAAATTAAAATGTTGGAAGAAAAATAAAACAAAACCAAAAATACTAAATAAATACAGATATATATAATACAAACATGTAAAAATAAAATAACATAAGTAAACAAAATCATTTCTGGGGGAACTTAAAAAGTTCTCTTATCTACTTTTCATGATCAATCGGGTTGGGAAAGAAGTAGGTGATTAAAAAGGAGAAATTTAAATGAGGAAACTGATTGTGCATGTCGGATATCAGGAAGGATGGTATTCCAGATGACGACTGCTTGAATTATAAAGGATTTGTCAAATGCAATAGTTCAGTGTGGAGGTGAATAGAGGTCAGAAGTACGGGATCTAGTGATCAAAATTGTTTCTGGATAATTTTTTTGTGAATGAATTTCGTTATTTAGCAATGGCCGATTATTTTCATTATTCAAAAATATCAGAGGTATTTTTATTTTTATAGGTTTAGTGTTAGTATGACTGCTGTCTTGAACAGTGTTGTGTTTATACAAAAAAATATTGCTATCTTCAAGATCATCATCACGTAATAATTTGAATCTGTTGCTTACATTTATCAATGAAATATCTTGGTAATATTTCCCCACTTTTTTAACTGAAGATAGGTTTTGGGAAGAGCATTCATAATTCCTTTTCTTTGAACTGGAATCTTCTATAAACTTTTCATCTGGTTCAGATGAACTTTGCTAGGAATTCAGGGGAATAAATGGCATAACACATCCTTCATCGCTCTTGTTTTATTAATTGTATAATTTGAAGAAAAATAATGATGCTTTCTGGACTCATTTCAACTCAACCCACTAAAGAAATATTCCTATCTCAATCCTTTCCCATCTTTGTACCAAGGCAACCTCCCTACTTTCATGAATAATATTCTTTTAGCCTGTCATGTCAACGGTCAGTTGCTTCTAGTCCATTTCGATGAATTTCATGATTTTTTTCCTTCACAACTTTTACCATTTAATTGCAGTCTCTGAAACCTGGCTAAAGCCCTAAATCCTGACTTCTCAGGTTTCTCTACCCAACTATACCCTCCTTCGTCATAAACGGGTGGTAGCATGGTTCTCTTTGTTCATAACAGTCTTGAATCCAAAATCTTCAATTGCTCTTCTCCTACCAATTCTCTTCACCTCGAATATCTGTTTGCTGAAATCCTCACCAACTCATCTACCCTTCTCTTGGCTGTTATCTATCGCCCTCCTAGAATTCATTTTGACCAAGCATTTGATACTACACTTTACAACCTAACCCCGTCCTACTCCAACATTATCCTAAACGGAGACCAATTTACTAATTCCATCCTCTAGTTATTCTTACCTAACATCCCTCCTTGATTCCCTTGGTCTCTACATAGTACCCTATAATCCAACTCACCATACCCAGTTCTCGGAGTCCTGGCTAGATCTGTTTATCCTAGATTCCTCAGAAAAAATGCTGGCTACATCTCAGCACCCGGTCGCATTTCTACCTTCCCATGATCCAAATTATCCAAATTACCTACAATATACCGGTACCAATTTTCTTCCCCCAAACCATATCTTTCTGACATCACAATTCCCTAACATATGAAACCATCTTGCACGATCTAGAGGCTATCCAATGGGACTCCATCCATCACTCAAACTCTACTGATATAATGGCAGAAACCCTTACCATTCACCTTCATACTATCCCAGACCTCCTTTTATAACAAAAACAATCTGACATCCACCATCCTGCTTGGTTAACACCCGTTCTGAGAGAATGTATAAGAAGAAGAGATGCTGTGAGATCGGGTTCAAAAAAACTCAATTTCCTACAGAATATAGGAACTCTCCTTTAAAGTACTCTGAAACTGCACTCAATCTACAATACACCACGCCAAATCCCTTCACTTCCATCAATCTCTTTCCAGCATTCCAAATCTCAAAGCCAAGTGGGATGTTATCCATAAATTATCCTTAGGCAAACCCATCCAAAACCAGTCTCTCCCTATTTCAGCTAAAGTACTCAATACTCACTTTGTCTCCTCCCCCTCCCATTCCTCTTTCCTAGCGCCAACTCCCACTCCCATTCCTCCCTCCTTTAATCCCAATCATTTCTTATTTTCTTATATTACTCTTTAATTCCATTTGTAAATCCGAAACCAATGATTTTGAACCAGACAACATTCCGGTTAAATTGATTAAATTTTCAGTTCCCTCCATTCTTCCTATCCTTTATCATATTTATAACTTTTCATTGCAAAGTTCCACTTTTCCCAACATCTGGAAAACTGCTCTTGATCTTCCGCCAAATAAAACCACCAATCCTGCAACCCCTAATGACTTCAGCCCAATTTTCCTATTATCTAATCTTTCCAAACCTATAGAACAATTAGTTCAATCCCAATTATCCCAGTATCTCAATCAAAATAATCTTCTGAACTACCACCAATCAGGTTTTAGACCTGACTACACCACCCATTCTACCCTAATTAAAACCTCCCAAGATCTACACACAGCTATAGAACAACAGAAACTCACTATCCTAATTCTCTTTGGTTTTTCCAAAGCCTTTGACTCAGTATATCACAATATACTCCTTACTAAACTTAAAAACATCTCCTTGTCTTCTAGTGTCCTTAAATGGTTTCAATCCTTCCTCACCAGTCGCTCCCAGTATGTTCTAGTACCTAATAAACCCCTATCAGAGTTTCTATCCTTGTCCAGAGGCGTTCTCCAGAGGTCCTCCTTATCTCCCACCCTTTTCCCATCTATATCAATGACCTGTATGCCAATGATGTCCAAATTTACCTTTCATTCGATCCAGATGATTCCACTACAGCAATCCCACAACTTCAAGAAGATATAGACAGAATCTGTGCTTGGGCAAACCGCAATAGGCTCATCCTAAATGCCTAGAAAACGAAAGTTATCCTTATCGGATCCCCCACACTCATAAAATTCAATCCTGTACCTCACATCTTCTCCTAAGCAACTCAACTATTTCGTTTCAAACTTCCGTTAAACACCTTGGTGTTATTTTTGATCAAACCCTCTCCTGGAAACTACACATCTCCAAAATTTCCTGATGTACTATTTCTATTCTAAAACAGTTCAACTGTCAATGCTATCTCTTTTCATATAAAACCCGTCAACTCCTGGTTTCCTCTCTTGTTTCCTCTCACTTCGACTATGGTTGTATGGTGTACGGTGGACTCTCAGGAGAACTTTAAGCCAAACTTAAACGACGGGATCTCAAGAGATACGCCTCTTACCGAGTATTACACTGAGTTGAAGTTGCTCTATCCATCCTATCGCCAGCAGTACTTCTTTGCTACCTTTCTATACCAGGCCATTAGAAGTCAGCGACCCTTCTATATTCTTCAGAGCCTACAATTCAAATCCTCCATTCCTAACCGAACTGCAGCATTTAACAAGTCCTTTGTAATTCAAGCCATCTCTTTTTGGAACTATATCCCTTCCGATATCCGACATGTACAATCAGGTTCCTCATTTAAATCCCTCCTTTTTAAGCACCTATTCCTTTCCTAATTTGACTAATCACAAAATGTATATAAGAGAGCTTCCCCTTAAGATCCCCAGAAATCTTGTTGTTTACTTATGTTATTTTATTTTCCTTTGTTTAATATATATATATATATATATATATATATATATATATATATATATATATATATATATACATATATGTTTTTGCTTTGTTCTTTTTTCTTCCTATAATTTTATTTTATTAGTTAGATATTATTTTGTAAATATTTAATTTAATGTATGGCCACACAGGCATTTTCTCAGTAATTATACTTTGTTTTAAAGGGACAACAGTCTCAGGATAATAAAAATATTTTCATTTCATTTCATTTAAAAAAACATAAAAAGTAAACTAATCTCAAGAATTAATTATCGTGTTGACCTTGAATTATTAGTGGGAAAGGTAATGATAATTCAGGTATATGCTCCTATTGTAGGACCATCAGTGTTAGATAAGGAACAGTACTATAATGATTTCCAAAGAGGTGTCGACCTAGCCAGAAGTAATAGTAGAATCATATCAATAACAGCAGATTATAATGCAAGAGACAGCTCAAATGGAGTTATAGGTCCATTTGGTGTAGAACTGGTCAAGAATGATAGTGGACTTCTGCATTGACAATAATCTACTGATTGGCAACTCTTGCTTTAACCACAAACGAATCCACAAGTTGACATTTGTAGAAAAAGGAAGAAATTCTTCAAGCATCATAGAATATTTCATCGTTGAGCGAGATGAAGATACATTACTAATGTCAAAGTAATTAGAGAAGCAGAAATGAGTACCCACCACAAACTAGTAATGACTGATACAAAAATCATAAAACAAAGAAAGCCAAGAGCTAAAAGGTATGAAAGGATACAGCTGAACAATTTTAGACAGATCCTAGGCATGCCTACAGAATTAGCATTAAACGAATACTGGCACCTTTTGAAAACATGTATAATAGATACGGCAAGAGAGGTCTTAGGATTAAAGAAGATTGGCCCATATATAAATAGAAGACAAACTGGTGGAATGAAGAGCTAATAAGAGTAATGAAATTATATCACCATATCCCCAATGATAGGAATATCATATTTTGTTTATAGAAGCCTTTAGAGTTAGTGTACTGTTAAATGCTGTATTATTCTTACACAAAATCAATATAAATTCCAGGTTTTATTGTACGGCTCATTGAATAATAAACAGAAGGTACTTTTAGTCTAAGGGGCCGTTTTGAAACCTCACTTCTTATCTATCTTATCTAACGTCATGTCATCATGTTACATAACCTCCCTCTTCTTATCCCGCCAAACTTTTGAGTTATTGCATTGTTTGGTTTTCAGTTATTCCCTTATTACGTTCACTTATTAAATTGTTTATTTTTGGCCCGTTTGTGTTTATTTTTAGTTTTGGGCCCGTTTGTGTTTATTTTTAGTTTTTGGCCCGTTTGTGTTTATTTTACATTTTTTTTTAGTTTGTGACCCCTTGGTGTTTATTTTTCATTTTTTTTTCGTTTATTTTCGTCATATTATGGATCATCTTAGAATATGGGATTTACCGTCTTCAGAAGAACAGGCAATTCAGTATTTTCAAAATGTTGGGGTACTTGCCGACGTGAAATTGTGTGAACGAGGTCATCGAATGAAGTTAACCAAGAAGGCCAAATGGAGATGCTTTCGTAAGACTTGTCACACAAAACTTTCAATAAGAAAAGGAACATGGTTGGAGGGTTCGAGGATTTCGTTTTTAACAGCTTTAAAATTGATTTATGGGTGGTCCCATAGCTTGACAATGATGAAGTGGGGCAAAGAGCAGCTGAAACTATCCTACGCAGCTATGGTAACGTGGAACAAATGTCTAAGAGAGGTTTGTGCCCATGACATGTTATACAGGCCAAGAAAAAAAATTGGAGGACCTGGCAAAGTGGTTGAAGTAGACGAAAGTCTTTTTTCTAAACGAAAAAAACATGTGGGGAGAGTTTTACCTCAGCAGTGGATGTTTGGTGGAGTTTGCCGTGAAACAGATGAATGTTTTATCGTCAAAATAATTGATAGAAAGGCAACAACATTATTACAAGCCATTAAAGAAAATATAGAAGAGGGAACGACCATTTATTCGGACTGTTGGAAAGGATACAACACCCGACAACTGAACGAAGCAAACTATGACCATTTCCAAGTGAATCACCGTTATAATTTTGTCGATCCATCAACTGGGGTTCATACTCAACACATAGAAAGATTGTGGGGCTCAGCTAAGTGGAGAAATAAAGTACATAGAGGAACTGCCAGACAACACCTCGATTCATATTTGTGCGAATTTTTGTGGCGGCGGGTTCACAGAGAAGAGGACCCGTTCCTCGCTATTTTAAGTAGCATAAAACAATTTTGCCTTCCAAAATAAATAAGACAAAAGGAAGTGAATAATTAACTTAAAATAATTTGTATATACGTTGTTTATAGTGTTTATATTTTTTCTTTTCTATGTAAATATGTTCTTTTAAATTTGTTATGATGCCGATGTTATGATTATAATTTGTTATGATGTTTGATGTTTTATATGTACATATCTTCTTAAAGTGTTTTTTTATTATTTAATTAATATATTTGCCGTCAAATAAAAATATTTTTGTTGTTATTACATTTGTTTTTGTATCTGTTTACACTTTCAATAATACGAATTTAATACAATAATACGAAGATGTGAAGTAGAAGAAGGCTTATCACTGCGTTATGGGAGCTATCAGTGTTCAGGTTATAAACATTGCCAGATAGCAGTCAGTAGCGGCCCCTTAGACTAAAAGTACTAAACAGAATTAGTGAATGGTAGAAATAATTCTCTCCCAGTAAATACTAGCCTGTAAGTAGTAGGAAAGAACTCACTCCCCCTCCACTGGGCAAGCCTAATAAAGCCTGTGGTCACAGCAGGAAATTAATGTGAGCTTGAGAGTAGGGAGTTCATTGTCTTCTCCCTTATACTAAACTACACCATAAATATATTTTTACCTGAATATTAGGTGCTGTAAAAAGTTGTGAAGACAGTTGATCTGCTTCTAAGCCCAGTACGTCATCCTGTTCAACAACAATGGAACCAAGATTTGCTCCTCCGCTTATCAAAGGAAAATGGCCCAGATTATTTATTAAATGCATAGTAACCTGGAATGCATGTTTTAAAAAATAAATATGTGCAAGAATACTAAACTGTAGAGATATTAAAACAAAATAGCCACACAAAACTTGAAGAAAAAAAAACTAACATATCAAAACACAAAATCGTCATGAATAACAAATTAAAAAAAATCAAATAAATGTACTAAAGCTTACAAATTAATCAATTTTATTTACACAATTTTTTTACAAAACCATATCTTATATTTTATAATTCAGTCAATCTAACATGATTAGTATATATATGGTAACATCTCTCTCATATGTTACAAATAATAATATAACCTCGGAAGATCACTTTATAACGTTAAGATACTTCCAAAAGAAACAAGAGGTTGTTATAATAATAAACAAAATTATGAGAGTATTAATAGATTTATTTATCTCAGGTGTGGGTTACTGACAATCAGATCAAAACACCCAGAAAAACTAAAATTAACTATTAAATATTAAATAGTTGACCGTTGCATTATAAAGGAAGGAGATGGTCTGGGGTGGTGGTCATAAATAGGCTAAACAGTGGTAAAACTATTTTTATTAAAAGCCGATGTTTCGACCCGGCTTTGCAGGTTTTCTTCAGGGCTAGAACGGACAAGATACAAAAAGATAGAGAATTGTGGAAGTTACATAATATTTAGACAAAAAATTATATACAATGTGAATAAGCTTATTAAAATTATAAACAGTAAGTACATTAAAATATGAACAGAGTAAGCTAAGTAACAAGATCCTAAACTAAAGTAAATAGATGCTAACAATTGTTGTAGTGTAATATATAATAAATGCAAATGTGAATATACTTCTACAGATCTACAGGAGAGATTGAAAGAAAAGGAAAAAGGATATAATATGAAATAATAGACATAAAGGAATGTGGAAAAAAAAAAAAAAAGGAAAAAGAAAACCAAAAAATTAAGTAAGTAAGTAAATAAAATTAGAGACTTACATGTGTGTTCAGCTAGGAGTTACACTTACAACTGGAAAACCAGGGTAAGGGCAGGTATAGGGGAAGCTGACTTGTTTGGGTAGTGGGGAAAACCTAGAAAACTACAGTATCTAAAACTTGAAGATATGGATGGATACAATGTAAAAGTACAATATCTATGAAATATTAAATTATAAATATATACATATACATATAAATAGAATTAAGAGATTATAGATAAGAGTAAAATGTGAATAAAAGGATAGAGGTCTATCCTTGCCACGGTCCCTAACTATGAAAAAAGACTCATTTCCGAATCCATCCACATTCACTTGGAACAGAATCCTGTTAATCATAAATTTGACAAAAACTGTATTTCTTTAACATATAGACACATTTTAAATCTTATAAGTGAAAAATAACTTATATATTACATTCTATTATTTTTATTTTTAAGTACTTTCAATTTTTATTGGTTAATTCAATTTAATTGTTCATTATTCTAAGTATTTCCGCTTTGTATAATCTCTCTTTTACTTTATTTTAAATTTATATTTACACTCTACATCAATGTATGATCATCATTTTCTCTTTCTATTCATTTTACTTTTTAACCATATCTCAATTCAAATGTAATTTTCTTACATATGTAGAACCAAATATAATTATAATTATTAATTTTTTTCCTCTCTATACTTCTAAGTTAGTTCTACAATGTATGTATGTAAATGAAGTTATTTCTGTATTTATTTTTTAATTCTTCCATTTTTGTTTTTATTCACATTGTACTCTTATCTATAATTTCTTAATTCTATTGCATATGTATATGTATAATTTACTATTTCATAGATATAGTATTTTTCCGTTGTATCCATCCATATCTTCAAGTTTTAGATACTGTAGTTTTCTAGGTTTTTCCCCATTACCAAACAAGTCAGCTTCCCCTATACCTGCCCTTACCCTGGTTTTCCAGTTCTAAGTGGAACTAACTGAACACACTTGCAAGTATCTAATTTTATTCTTCCAATTTTATTTACTTACAATTTAATTAAATTACAAATTATTTACAATTTTATTTAATTTTTTGGTTTTCTTTTTCCTTTTTTTTTTTCTCCACATTCCTTTATGTCTATTATTTCATATTATATCCTTTTTCCTTTTCTTTCAATCTCTCCTGTAGATCTGTAGAAGTATAATCACATTTGCATTTATTATATATTACACTACAACAATCACAGGCGGATTTATGGGGGGGCTTTCGGGCTGAAGCCCCCTCCCAAAATGGTAAAATGTAACTATGTTTTATGGTAAAAAGTCATGTCTTAAAGTATTATTGCTCGTTTAATTACATTTAATAGGACTTCAAGAATCACTTAAACACCATTTCATATAGGTAGTTAGTATCTTTCTGTTTTTCCAAAATAATTATCGTTATATATATATTTAAAAAAAAGCTTCTGGGCTGAAGCCCCCCCCCCAAAAATTAAGTCCTGGATCCGCTAGTGACAACAATTGATAGCATCTATTTACTTTAGTTTAGGATCTTGTTACTTAGCTTACTCTGTTCATGTTTTAATGTACTTACTGTTTATAATTTTAATAGGCTTATTCACATTGTTTATAATTTTTTTGTCTAAATATTATGTAACTTCCACAATTTTGTATCTGTATCTATTATGTAATTCTATCTTTTTGTATCTTGTCTGTTCTAGCCCTGAAGAAGACCTGCAAAGTCGGGTCGAAACATCGGTTTTTAATAAAAATAGTTTTACCACTATTTAGCCTATTTATGACCGCCACCCCGGACCATCTCCTTCCTTTAAAATTAACTATACTAAACACTGTTTGATTTTAAAATTAAATCAAATATGGTTTGGCAAGCTAACATTTTTTTATATATACAATGTTCCTTCCTTTGTGGCACTAAATTCATTTGTCTTCAAATGATTTCCAATCTTCTGCTAAACACAACTCCCAAGATGGAGACACTTTCTTCTATTCAACTCAAGCTCCTGAGGGAGATCCTCTCTCTTGTAATTCCAAACAACTAGTCTCTCTGCCAAACAACAACTTCCAAGATGCTAATACTATTACTGGGTTTTACCCACTGGAGCCAGGATCCCTTCTCCTTTCCTCTGTTCACTGCAGCCACACAACAACTGCTTGCCAAAACAAAAACCGTTTTCCCTCTCCTCTTTTTTGAGATTTTCCTTTCTGGGAAACTACAGAGCAGCCATTTTCTTTTCCCTGCACTAGTAGAACTAGATTAGCTTGCCTTTAATTGTTCAACATTAATTTATTAAAACCTGCTTGGAAGTGACTGCTATAATTTCACTACCACTTTGAAGAAATATAAAGATGATAGCTTGGCATTCAAAGGGATACCTAAATCATAATGTTATCTCCCAACTGCTTATAATGTAATATAATATAATTATTAGTTTTATGGTTAATTTAATTCTTTCATAAGTTTTTTTTAAGTAAATAACTAAAATATTGAAAATTCGGCGAAATTCTGACCTCTTCATAAAATTTGGAGGGGGATGACAGTAACTTTTGTGGTAACTTTTGGTAACTATTAATGTCTAAACTATACAATAATCACAATTCAGGCAGTATTTACGGTAGTGGCAGTAATGTCACTCTATAAGACTTGACTAAATAGATTATAGTAACTGTGATATGCATAAGTGACATACTGAACTAACCTACTTATCAACAAAAAATATAATTTGTTTTTTATAGTGATTTACTAGTGTTAAGCCAGCTGTTCTGCATCCCCAATGTTTTTCAACTTCAACAAGATCTACAAAAATAAATATTTTTCATACTTAAAAAAATTGGATCCAAAAATTAAAAATATACGAATATCTAGAAAAAGAAGTTTTCTCAGTTCCACACTGTTTGGACTGTACTACCAGGAAAGATAACTGTCACCGCTAAATGAGGATTTTTTTTCACTCCCTTTGAAAACTTACTAGTACTGGTACTAGAAGGGGAACTAGTCCAGCAAGTGGGCCTATCGTAGTCCTTTTTGCCAACCCCTGACGGCTACCTTGAGGTTGCCGCCGTGTACTAACCAGAGCGGGAATGTCATGATCCATTTCCCGGGGCCACTGAGAAATGAAAAGTAACCGACACAACTGAGAATCGGGCTTATAACGTTCAGAACCGCACACTCTGAGACCCAAGCCCCAACATGCTCGGCCACCCTGTCCTCAAACATTTAACCTTACAAGTTATGTTTATGAAGTGATAGTAATAGAATATTCAATTGCTACTTCAATCACCTTAATAGGTTAGTGCGGTTACGGTCCCCGACATCCTAAAGCTCAGGATATGTAATGATTATGATATAATATCAGATCTAATGATTATTTACATTTGTATCTTTACATCTATCAAACTCTCATTCAAATATTTTTAAAAATAACCATTTTAGAGACTTTGTAAGATAGACAAAATTCAAAACAATCCCGGCCACTTGCCAGTCAGGAAGAATATTGGAACCCGGGAACCGTAACCGCAGCTAATGTGTTAATTACCAAAAATAAATGAAATGAAAAATTTAATCACCATACCTAGAAAAATAGCAGATGAACGGTACATGAAAAAAATTAAAAATGAAATATAAACAAAAAAAACCTGATAGTAAATGCCTATCCTAAGAAATAAATGAATAAATTATGTCTGACAAATTAATAATAAATCATATTCAATCAATAATAAAGAAAAGGACAAATTATCAAAAGACCAACCATCTTAGGCAAAATTGAGTGACAATTAAATTGATTACTGATTTTATTAAGCAAAGGTTGTTAATATTAATAAAAATTATAATAGTAGAAGAAAATATAAAACAAGAAGAAGTTTTTCTTCAAAATAAATTATGTTCCTCAAATGACTGAAATCATAAATAAAATTTTTTAAATTATTGGACTAACAAAACCTAAACTTTGGTCTTTACTTTTAAAATAAACTTGATAATATGAAATCAATATGAATGATGAAATTATTTTTTATGTACAATATACAACTAGATGTAGATAGAATGCTTGAATTTTGATAAAATCTAAATTGAAAAAATCTTAAAAAATTAGATTATCTCAACATGTTTTCAATTAAAAAAAATTAATTCTACCACATTGGCTCACTCAAGAATTACA